CCCTGCAGGGTCTGAACCCATTGCTCACATTGTCTCTCCCAGAACTGAGTCCTATGGTCTAGTCCCCTGCTGTGCTGTCCTTCAGATGATTTCTTTTATCTTGATGAATTAAGAAAATTCTCAAAAAAAAAAAAAAAGCTGGGTAGTGGCGCACACCTTTAATCCCATTACTGGAGAGGCAGAGGCAGGTGCATCTCTCTGAGTCTAAGGCCAGCTTGGTCTACAGAACGAGTTTCAGGAATGGCTCCATAGCTATTGAGAAACCCTGTCTTGAAAAAACAAAAAACAAAATAAAAATAAATAATTCTCTGAAGAAGTGAGGTAGCAACCAGTAAGATTCACCTACTGGACTGCCATATCAGAGAAGAGACGGAGTTATATGAACAGCATTGGCCTTTTTATTTGGTTTTAAATTGTCATTGAAGTTAAAACTGCAAATGGGTGGTTTCCCCACCTCCTTTGGACCTCACATCTTGTCACTGGGAACATTATCTCCATATTATTGGGGAAGAACTATCTGTAGTAAGGGGACACAGAGAAACTGGGAGTCTCTAGGGAATAATGAAGCATAACAGTCTCCTGGGAGTCAGCATGAGAAGCCAGCTAGCTTTAGGACCCTGAGGAGACAGAGTCAGTGCAGGTCTCTGGGGAATTAGCTCTGTGGGAAAAGGATTTGGCCAGAGCCACTGCAGTGTCTGTCCAGTCTGCCCAGTCTGTCCGTCCGTTCATAGCCCTGCCCGCCAGTCCTATCATCTTGGTGGGTGCTGGGGAAGGTCGAAGGAAGGAAGACTAGAAGGGTCTGAGTGGCTACCAACACAGGAGACCACAAGTGTGTCATGGTCTTTATTATTGCCAGCATAGCTGTCCCGTATCTGGCCATCCATTGGTCAGCTCCATGAATTTCCCAGATTCAGCCAAACTCCTCTAGGTAGTCAGCGGCCAGTGTGTGTGTTGCTGCCTTGACTTACATCCCAGGAGGTGGAAGAGGAAGACCAAGCACATCATCAGCCCTTGGTGGCCATACTGGCTGTGGAAAAAAGACAGCGAGGGAGGGGCGCCCCATGCTACCCTCTGTGGGAGCTTGTCTGCTTTTAAGCAGTCGGGATGAAAGGGGGAAGCAAAGAAGGAAGGCCGAAATAAAGAAATCGCACAGATCTTACCTCCTGGCTGGTTTGCCAGGAGTTTCAGGAGCAGCTCTGAGTTCAGGGTGTACCTGCTGAGATTTCCAGACTCTTGCATCCAGAAGAATAAATTGGACCAGGGACACATAGTAATAGAAATAGAGCTGGTTTATCAAACAAGGAAAAAGGCCCTCCTGAGGGTGGGAATTCATGCTCAGAAGTCCAGCACCATGGAGTTCTGATCCTTTTAGGGTGTTTACATGGCACCCGCCTTTCCTGTATTTGTATATCGTGGGCATTTTTCAACATGCTATGTTTGTTACATGCGGCCACATGGTGCTTCTTGGTGTGTCAAATGGACACCTACATGATCCTCATGAGTTTGGACCCCTTCCTTCTACCCCTACCCTGTCTGTCTGTCTGTCTGTCTCTGTCTCTCTCTCTCTGTGTATCTCTGTCTCTCTCCCTCTCTGTGTGTGTCTTTGTCTCTCTCTGTCTCTCTCTCTCACACACACACACACACCACACCACCACCACTCGAAACAGGTGTAGACCTTAATACAAGAACCACATTTACATTTGGAAATCTTAGATAAGTCTAATCTTGGTGACACGGCTGTGTGACTGATTCTTAGACACACAATAGAAAATATAAGGAATCAAAGAAAGAGACTTCATCAGAATTAGAAACCTTTATGTTTTAAAGGACATCACCCAGAAGTAGAAAGACAGCCCTACGGTTAAAGAATTGTTTTACAAATGATGTGTTAGACACTCCCCTGTCCCCACTGGAGTGGGCAGGAAATGCAACCTGACAGGCTATCGCTTCCTCTCTGAGGAGAAGCTGCAATCCTGAATATGTAAATTACATAACTCAACAAGAAAAAGACAAGAAAAAGTCAATTTAAAAGTGGCAAAGGGGCTGGCAAGATGGCTTGATAGGTAGAGGTGCTTGCTGCCAAGTCCGACAGCCCAGTTCCCATACGGGGACTCCAGGACCCATATGGTGAAAGGAGAATAGACTCCTCAAGTCGTCCGCTGGTCTCCAAACTTACACTGTGGCACACATGCACCCCCGAAATAAAAACATATTCGTTTTTGGTTGGTAAAGGAGTTGAATATGTTCCTAAGGAACCACTGTGGTTCCTAGCCCTTCAGAACCACAGCGAGGAACCACCTCCACCCTCATAGACACTGTAACCAGGGAAAGCTTGTGGCCTATGGACATTGTGGATGGGAAGACACACTCATGCCATCACCCTGGAAGAGAGTTTGGTGACCCCTTAAAATACCAAACATAGTTCCTACACCACCTGGTAATTTCTATCCTAACTGTAGCCGAGATAGGTGAAAACATATGTGGATATTCATAATAAAACCCCAAAGCAAATTTATTCATAAATTGATGAATAGATAAATAAAAATGTGTTGTTTATATAGTAGAATATCATTTAGCAGTAAGAAGCAATAGAGAACTGATACGGGCTGGGCGGTGGTGGTGTACACTTTAATCCCAGCACTCAGGAGGCAGAGGCAGGCGGATCTCTGTGATTCTGAGGCCAGCCTGGTCTAAAGAGTGAGTTCCAGGACAGCCAAGGCTGTTACACAAAGAAAAACCCTGTCTTAAAAACCAGAACAAACGAACAAACAGCACAATGATACAGGCTACAGTCGGGACAAAACTTACCGCACTAAAGGAAAGAAGCCAGTCACGTGCACATGCCAGTGCACCCCTATACCAGCACGTGGGAGACTGAGGCGGTAGGATTGTGAGTTCAAGACCAGCCTAGGCTGTGTAGTGAGACTGTCTCAAAAGCAAACACCGGATGTCAGCAATGTGCGTTTTAGAGATGTGCACGTGACACAGGAGAGCTAACATCAGCACAGCACAGCACAGTACAGGCCCGGTCCTGTCGGGACATGAGCTGAAGAGACATACACCCTTCAAAGAAGAACAGTGTGAGAGAGGCCAGGGTAGAGTCTGGAAGCTTGTGAGAGCATAGCTTTAAATGAAGACCAGAGTTTATGCTCATCTTGTTATAGGAATCTATGTATATGTATGTATGTGCTTATAATTACACATATACACACAGTATATATAGCACAACACATATATGCATGTGTGGTTATATAATATGTGTATATACTATATATACACGTGTGTGTGTTTGTGTGTCTGTATGTAGTGGTGCTGAGGACAGAACCTAGGCCAGCACATGCTAAGTAGGAACTACCATTTAATTATCCCCCAGCCACGGAGCAGTGGAAACTCTATCAGCACTGGAATGAAAACATTACAGTACTATTATGTGCAGTAGGATACTATTTAACCACTTAGTGATGAAGACAAAATGTCAGGAAAAAGATAAGTAAAGCAGAGTGTCAACTTACATATGGTGTGGTCTAGATATAAGACAAGATGTGTACTGGCCTCAAGTGTGCCGAGTGCCTTAGCTCTCTGGTTGATGGATCGTGGGGTTGTTGTCCCCCTCATGTCTCTGCCTCTGTCTTTGTTCCCCATATCCTTAGGTTTTCCTATATCCAGTGGGTGTCACCTCTTTGCTTTAGGGCTGCTGGGAGGAGCAGGACTGAAGATGTGGATCTGAAAGGGTGGGAAAGACCCTGAGCAAGTGCTGGAGGCCAGTACAGATGGAGGCCAGTAGAGATGCTGGGGGCTATAACAGATGATGGAGGCCAAGTACAGATGATGGAGACCAGAACAGATGATGGAGGCCAGAACAGATGATGGAGGCCAGAACAGATGAGGGAGGCCAGAATAGATGATGGAGGCCAAGTACAAATGAGGGAGGCCAGAACAGATGATGGAGGCCAAGTACAGATGAGGGAGGCCAGAACAGATGATGGAGGCCAGTACAGATGAGGGAGGCCAGAACAGATGATGGAGGCCAGTACAGATGATGGAGGCCAAGTACAGATGATGGAGGCCAGTACAGATGCTGGAGGCCAGAACAGATGATGGAGGCCAGAACAGATGATGGAGGCCAGTACAGATGATGGAGGCCAGTATAGATGATGGGGGCCAGAATAGATGATGGAGGCCAGAACAGATGATGGAGGCCAGAACAGATGATGGAGGCCAGTACAGATGATGGAGGCCAGTATAGATGATGGGGGCCAGAATAGATGATGGAGGCCAGAACAGATGATGGAGGCCAGAATAAATGATGGAGGCCAGTACAGATGATGGAGGCCAGAACAGATGATGGAAGCCAGTAGAGATGGAGGCCAGTACAGATGCTGGGGGCCAGTAGAGATGATGGAGGCCAGTACAGATGATGGGGCCAGTACAGATGCGGGGGGCCAGTAGAGATGGAGGCCAGTATAGAACGTGAAGAGGCTGGGGGTGTCCCTGTGTCATGGAGACAGGCAGAGTGCAGGCTGAGCCATTCTGTGGAAGTCAGGGAGCACAGAGGCTGAAGCTTACCCCACTGAGAGCCTTGCTTCTTCCTGGAGCTGTGGGAGGTTAGATGCAGATTCCTGCATTCCTTGATGGAAATGACACAGGAAAGCAGGCTATAGGCTTGGGAGCCAGGCAGATTCTGTCAGGCTGGAAGTGGCCTCAGGATGGTTTAACTCTTAAGCCTGTTTCCCCAACTGTTAAATAAGAAGAATGTAAGAAACAAAACAAAACAAAAACAAAAAAGCCACCTTATATTGTTGTTTGGATTTGGTAGCTCGCGTGTAGCGGGTACCCCTCACAGCCTCCGGCATGCCTGCACTACCTTACTGAGGGCCATTGTTTCTGTACCCTTGTGCTGCAGAGGCAGAAACATCCAGAGTCTTTAGCGTGGGATTGTCTCCTGGTCCCTGGGCAGAGCTTCTGGGATGTTTATCCTGCTCTCTTCCTCTCTCCCCCAGCTGCCCCCTTTGCCACCATGAGGAACATCTTCAAGAGGAACCAGGAGCCCATTGTGGCTCCTGCCACCACCACTGCCACGATGCCTGTCAGGCCGGCCGACAACTCCACGGAGAGCACGGGCACTGGGGAGAGCCAAGAAGACATGTTCGCCAAGCTGAAGGACAAATTCTTCAACGAGATCAACAAGATCCCTTGTGAGTGGCCCTGCAGGGCTAGTACCAGGAGGCCTGTGACAGGGCTGGGCCTGAGGAGGTGGGGGGCCAGAGGGAAGGGCTGGGCTGGGCTCTTTGGATTTTTCAGGGAACCCAGGCTGAGAGTATGATCCAAAATGAATGAGGTCAGCAAAGGAACTTATTGTTACATGGTCCAGGCCTCATGGGGGTTCAACTCCAAGTACCACTTTAAAATTCCACCAAAGAATGAAAATAAAAGGTGAAAAAAATGAGCTAGGAATCATTATTCAGGTTTTCAGCAGATTTAGCAACTGCTTTATTTTGGAGTGCAGAAAATGAGGCTTCCCGAACTCCTGGCAAAGGCTCTCTGTGTGGAACCAGGTCGCCTTGGCAGGATCAGCCACACTGGTGGGAGAATATCGTGGTGGTGCTGCTGGTGGTGGTGGTGGTGGTGGTAAGGGCTCTCCATCCCCTCTGAATAAGCAAGGCCAGACTTCTAGGGGAACTAGAGCTCAGGAAACTTTGCTGCCTCTGGGTCAAGCCTCCGAGGACTGTCTCAGGGCCAGGCTCCACAAGTCTCTTTCTTCCCTTGGCTGTGATGAGGTTAACCAGTTGTGCAAAGATCAAGTAACTGAAGAACCCTGGAAATAGCCCAAACTGCTCTTCTTCCCCATGTACTCCAGGCTGCTAATCCAGCAGGCTGTGTCCACAAGGGGGCAGCTGAGAGCAAAATACTCATACCTCATGGATATGGATAAAAATGTGGGGCCGGCTAGGACCTCAAGAACTATATTGAATAGATATGGAGAGAGTGGACAACCTTGTCTTGTTCCTGATTTCAGTGGGATTGCTGGGAGTTTCTCTCCATTTAGTTTGATGTTGGCGTTGGCTTGTTGTATATAGTTCTTGAGGTCCTAGCTAGAGCAATAAGACACCAAAGGAGATCAAGGGGATACAAATCGGAAAAGAAGAAGTCAAACTTTCACTGTTTGCTGATGATATGATAGGTTACATAAGAGATCCCAAAAATTCTACCAAAGAATTTCTACAACTCATAAATACCTTCAGCAATGTAAGCAGGATACAAGATTAACTCAAAAAAATCAGTAGTCCTCCTGTACACAGATGATAAAAGGGCTGGGAAAGAAATCAGAGAAACATCACCCTTCACAATAGCCACAAATAGCATAAAATATCTCGGAGTAACTCTAACCAAACAAATGGAAGACCTGTATGATAAAAACTTTAAATCTTTGAAGAAAGAAATTGAAGAAGACACCAGAAAGTGGAAAGATCTCCCATGCTCTTGGGTAAGTAGAATTAACATAGTAAAAATGGCAATCTTACCAAAAGCAGTCTACAGATTCAATGCAATGCCCATCAAAATCCTAACAAAATTCTTCACAGATCTCGAAAGAATGGTATTCAACTTCATATGAAAAAGCAAAAAACCCAGGATAACCACAACAATCCTGTACAATAAAAGAACTTCTGGAGGCATCACAATCCATGACTTCAAACTCTACTACAGAGCTACAGTACTGAAAACAGCCTGGTATTGGCATAAAAACAGACAGGAGGACCAATAGAACTGAACCAAAGACCCGAATGTTAATTCACACACCTTCGAACACCTGATTTTTGACAAAGAAGCAAAAAATATAAAATGGAAAAAAGAAAGCATATTTAACAAGTGGTGCTGGCATAACTGGATATCAACATGTAGAAGAATGAAAATAAATTCATATCTATCACCATGTACAAAACTCAAGTCCAAATGGATCAAAGATCTCAACATAAAGCCAGCCACACTGAATCTTATAGAAGAGAAAGTGGGAAATACACTGAACGCATTGGCACAGGAGACCACTTCCTAAATATAACCCCAGTAACACAGACACTGAGAAAAACAATAAATGGGACCTCCTGAAACTCAGAAGCTTCTGTAAAGCAAAGGACATGTCAACAAGACAAAACAACAGCCTACAGAATGGGAAAAGATCTTCATTAACCCCATATCAGACAGAGGTCTGATCTCCAAAATATACAAAGAACTCAAGAAATTTGTCACCAAAAGAACAAATAACACCCCCCCCCCCCATTGGGGTACAGACCTACACAGAGAATCCCCAACAGAGGAATCTAAAATGGCTGAAAGACACTTAAGGAAATGCTCAACATCCTTAGTCATCAGAGAAATGCAAATCAAAACAACTCTGAGATTCCACCTTATAAGAATGGCCAAGATCAAAAACACTTTGACAACTTATGCTGGAGAGATTGTGGGGAAAAGGGAACACTTCTGCCCTGCTGGTGAGAATGCAAGCTGGTACAACCCCTTTGGATGTCAGTGTGGTGATTAGGAAACAACCTTCCTCAAGACCCAGCAATACCACTTTTGGGTATATATCCAAAGGATGCTCAATTGTGCCACAAGGACATGTTCTCAACTATGTTCATAGCAGCATTGCTTGTCATAGCCAGAACCTGGAAACAAACTAAATGCCCCTCAACTGAAGAATGGATAAGGAAAATGTGGTACATTTACACAATGGAGTACTACACAGTAGAAAGAAAAACGACATCTTGAATTTTGCAGGCAAATGAATGGAGCTAGAAAGCATAAAGCAAAGAAAACCAGGCCACAATTCACAATCCCAGAGAAACTAGACAGCAATGAGGACTCTAAGAGAGACTTTTGTAGATCTAATCTACATGGGTAGTAGAAAAAGACAAGATCTCCTAAGTAAATTGGAAGCATGGGGATCTTGGAAGAGGGTTGAAGGGAAGTGGGGAGTCAAGGAGGGGAACAGAGAAAAATGTAGAGTTCAATAAAAATCAATAAAAAATGTGGGGCTGGAGAATGGGGGAGTCACAGTCCCAACCCACTGCTTGGGATGAGGGCGCTTGCGAGGCGCAGTGTGTTGATACTGGGGCTCTCTGTGTGGGCAGTGCCACCCTGGGCTCTGATCGCCATGGCTGTGGTTGCTGGTCTCCTGCTGCTCACCTGCTGCTTCTGCATCTGCAAGAAATGCTGCTGCAAGAAGAAGAAGAACAAGAAGGAGAAGGGCAAGGGCATGAAGAACGCCATGAACATGAAGGACATGAAAGGGGGCCAGGTAGGCTGCTGGGGAGGAGCAGGGAGGGGCCCTGCCTGGCTTTCCCGGTCCTGAAAGGTGAGGTGTGGCTGCCACAGCCAAACCCTCCTCTTCTGTATGAGCTGTTCTCTCTGCACACTCCACACATGTGCACACTTTCCACACAGGTCACAGTGGCGACGGTCACACCTAGAGTATCAGGTCAGCCACCTCAAGCTGGAGGGCAGGGACTTAAGTCCGAGTCAGCATGAGCTAGCCCACCCTCGAAAAAGCAGAAGAAGGGGAACAATGTATGGACTCCCAAGGAGGCCACTGGAGCTAAGTGTTTGACATCCATGATGACCCCCAGGAAGATGCCATTAGGTTGCCAAAGTTTCCTGCCAGGAGGGACTGAAGGACAGATACATCTGACTGGGTGGGGGTGGGGCTCGGGGTGGGGAGTGGAGGTTCGAAGGCACCAAGATGGAACCACACGAATCCATCACTCTCAGATAAGGAGGCACTGACCCAGCCTGTTGGTATTGGTTCCAGTAGGCCCCTTGGCATATCAGTCTCTCCTCTAAGTTTAGAGCCAGGTGTTTCCTGGTCCTCTGTTGTTCGTTTGGGGAACAACTGGGAGGGTCTTTCTCAAGGCATCATAGTGAAGGCTGGAAGAAGGGACTGGCCTCAAAGCGCAGCCAAGGGTCATGATGGCCTTCGAGTGCTTCTGTGTCTGTATGTCTAGGTGGGCCTCAAAGGAGCGTACAGTGTGTGTGTGTGTGTGTGTGTGTGTGCGTGCACATGGATGGTGTATATGCATGCACATCTTTGTGTCAGTGTGTATATGCATGCATGCGTGTGTATGTGCATGCATGTATGTATGCGTGTGTGTATGTGTGCAACATGTGTGCACGTAACTCAGGCTGATCTCATCAAGGAGCCATGACTCCAGGCTGGCTTCAGCTGAAGGATTTGCTCTTAAATCGCTCCCTTCTCTTTCCGCTTCTCTGGACTCGCCCTGCTCCTGGCTGCCTGGACTGCAATCCTGGTATGTCTCGCCCAGGTTGGGTAAATCCGAGCAAAAGACTGATGGGGTTTAAGGAAAGTGATCGCCCTGCTTCAAGAAGCTATCCTGCCCGTGGCACAGTGCCCGACCCCACAGGGAGGAGAGATGTCATGTCTTCCAAGTGTGGGCTGGGGGTTCCCTGATGAGCCGCTCTCCCATGTCATGCTGGTTCCTAGGGTCTGCCTTGTACCGGGGCTCTCCCGACAGCGCAGTTCCCCCCACAACGGCTCTGAGTCAGAGTTTGTAAAGGTGGCTGCTGCCTTCCCATAAGCCCTTTCTCCCCGCCCGCAGCTCTAGGATGATGACGATGCAGAGACGGGCCTGACAGAAGGAGAAGGTGAAGGCGAGGAGGAGAAGGAGCCAGAGAACCTGGGCAAACTGCAGTTTTCTCTGGACTATGATTTCCAAGCCAACCAGGTGTGTGGGGCTGGGCAACGGGGATAGGGCGTGGACAGAAGTGACTCCCTAGAGGCAGGTAGGCCTTGCCTTTCTGCGGAGTGGGACAGTTGGAAGCTACAGGGCATACATAGCCTTTGGCTTTGATGTCAGTTTCCTCTGGGGAAGGTTTCAGGTGAACGCTGCTATTAATTTACTTGCTGAGCTTGGCCTGGCCCCCTTCCCAGACCCCCGCTGGGGTGGGGGTGGGGGTGGGGGTGGGGGCTGCAGGAGACCATCTGGGGCTGGATGAGCAGCCCAGAGACTGAGACATCCTTTCTCCACAGCTCACCGTGGGTGTCCTGCAAGCGGCTGAACTGCCTGCCCTGGACATGGGTGGCACTTCAGACCCCTATGTCAAAGTCTTCCTCCTCCCAGACAAGAAGAAGAAATATGAGACCAAGGTGCACCGGAAGACACTGAACCCCGCCTTCAACGAGACCTTCACTTTCAAGGTGATGGAAATTGGAAGGGAGACTCCGGCTCCCCCTCTGCCCCCCAGGTTCTGCATACCTTTCCCTGGTCCACAGCCATGGCTGGAGCGTTGGGACCTGCTCAGAGTGGCGCAGTAGCCTCTTCCCATCTCACACATTGGTTTCCACAGTCTGCCTGGTGCCTGTGGGCAGTACAGGGCCAAGCCTGGGCTCTTCCTGCAGCATCCCCCCTAGAAGTGATCAAGCCACTTTGGCCCCCTCTGACCCTGTCTGTGCCCTGCAGGTGCCGTACCAGGAGTTAGGAGGCAAAACCCTGGTGATGGCCATCTATGACTTCGACCGCTTCTCTAAACATGACATCATCGGAGAGGTGAAGGTGCCCATGAACACCGTGGACCTCGGCCAGCCCATTGAGGAGTGGAGAGATCTACAAGGCGGGGAGAAGGAAGAGGTAAGAGTGGAGAGGCCTGGCCTCTCAGTGCTCATGTAGGCTTGTTCCTCCATGTGTATGTTAGGAAGAGCGGAGGTTTAGAGTTAGGTCTGCTGATGGAAGAGTCCAGCTCCCCACTGCCTGGCTGTTGACCCAGGGCAAGCTGCTGCCCTCCTCATCCTCCTTCTCTTCCTCCTTCCTCCTCCTGCTCCTCCTCCTCTTTTTCCTCCTCCTCCTCTTTTTCCTCCTCCTCCTCTTCCTTCTTTTTTTATCCTCCTCCTTTCAGGGGAGGGTTCTTGAGTAGCTATCCTAGAACTTGTTCTGTAGATCAGGCTGACCTTGAACTCATAGAGATCCTCTTACCTCTGCCTCCCAAATGCTGGAATTAAAGGTGTGCACCACCACCACCAAGCTTTGTGGCCTTGCCACCTTCATTTAGAGGCTTCTAGCTGGAAATTAACCGCCCATGCAAAGTGCCTTCCTTGTGCAGTGCCTGGTGTCTGCCAAGCAAGCTATGGGATAAGGATGGCATCATTACTGTTCCTTTCGAGTCCCACTGTCAATCAGATTCTATGCCACAGTTTACCCACAAGGAAAGCCGGCCTTGATTCTATGTGATTCTCAGTGTGTGGTTTGTCTTCGCGTGTTTCAGCCAGGCTCCTGAAGTGGCCTGCCCGGTGCTCAGTGGAGGAGTAGGGATGAAGGTGCAGGCCTTCTTCTATAGCTGGGGCCTGCTCTGTTGCCAGAGTTGAAGGCCTATGCACCTGAAGGAAGACATGTGTGATTGGTTGGTCTTACCTTCACCCTGGTGGCCTCACCCTGGTGGCCCCACCCCTGAGAAACTGGGGCTAGCTGAGGCCTTCTAAGGGTCAGGAGTCCTGAGCCCTCTCTGTCCAGTACTACACGGCTGTCTGACTTTCTGAGTTTCTTGCTGGTTACACAGTGTCCTTGCCTTGTCCACACAATAATAAATAATAAAGCAAAGGAAAGTACTTTAAAACCCACACATCACTCTGTGAGCCCAGTGGCTGATGGGAAAGGATGGCAGCAGGCACGAGCCACCAGGGAAGAAGCTCCCGAAACCACTTGGCCACCTAGCACCTGCTCCTGGTGCCCTTCTCAGCCCAGCTTGGTGGGGACCTGAGCCCACCCTACATCTGCCAGGTCTGCCAGGTCCCTCCTCTATAGCCTGTTCTCTGCCTTCTTGGAGGCGTCAGCTTCCTCAGACCATGGCTGGGAACCAGGACAGATGTGGGAGCTGATGACTTAGGGAGGTGGCTAGAAACCACTGCTTTGCCAATCTTCAAGATGGGGTCAGCCACACTAGAGACCACTGGGGTAGGGGAAGTGACCTAAGACCCGCTAATTTCCCTGGACAGCCGGAGAAGCTGGGTGACATCTGTACCTCCTTGCGCTATGTGCCCACTGCCGGGAAACTCACAGTCTGTATCCTGGAGGCCAAGAACCTCAAGAAGATGGACGTGGGGGGCCTTTCAGGTACTGCAGAACCCCTGGGTGCCAGTGGGTGGCACCAGTGAGCCAGTCACTGCCCTGAGTCCCTGGAGCTGACAGTAGGAAGCGACTCGCTTGTTGTGGGGCACAGTTTCCCAATCTCACCCTTTCTTTCAGGCTGCCTGTCCATTACCCTCTGGCTATGCCCCGTGGGCCATGGAGAAGACAGAGGAATCTTTGTTTGACATAGGACTTTAGAAGGAAGCATTGGAAGTGGCAAGGCTTAGCCCAAAGTTTGCCTTTCTGCCATACCACCAGAGGAGGGGATATTTTTCCAGGAGAGGTTGTAGGCTCTGCCAGCTTTGTTCTGGAAGGGGATGCTCTGACAGTGAAGAGGGCTAGCCTGTGCCACAGGATGCGGATGGGTAAAGCCTCTACAGAGCCCCCTCAGACCATGAGCCCTGTGGCTGGGCTTTAGCTCCATCACTGACCCAGGATGTGACCTTGGGCTGGTCCTTTCCCTTCTGTGTCTGGATGGGGTGGGGTTGGGACTTGGCAGAAGTCTGCCTTGATTGTAGCACTTCCGTGTCTCCTGCCTAGCCCAGGCACTGGGCCACTTAGTCCCATGCTTCCTCACAAGTCCTTTCTTAAGCTCAGAAGTTCCCCTGATTCATGTACTAGGGATGGTCCTTAACACCTTTCCCACCCTTGAACGAGATGACTTCCTGTCCCATCTCTGGGCTTTCCAAGGGGCTGGTGCCAGCAGGGTGGAGGCCTGTCCGATCCCAAAGTGGCCTGGGGACACCGGGAAGATGGTCAGGGCTTAGAAGTCTCTGTTGGGACTGTCTCTGCAGACCCCTATGTGAAAATCCACCTGATGCAGAACGGCAAGAGACTCAAGAAGAAGAAGACGACCGTGAAGAAGAAGACCCTGAACCCCTACTTCAACGAGTCCTTCAGCTTCGAGATTCCCTTTGAGCAGATCCAGGTGCTGAAGCCTCGAGGGGCCTGAGCTCTGAGCTCACTGGACAAGTGGGGGGCGGAAAGAGAGCAGCCACGGGTGGGTGATTATGGGGTGGGACCCCGGAGGGGACTTTTCTGAAGAGGAAATGGACATGAACTAACTTTTAAAAGTCATATAAGTCCTTAATGTATTTGATGAACATATATATGAACAAATATATATGGTTTTTTTAAGATAGAGTTTCTTTGTGTAGCCTTGGAGCCTATCCTGGAACTCGCTCTGTAGACAAGGCTGGCCTCGAACTCACTGAGATCCTCCAGCTTCTGCCTCCCAAGTGTTGAGGCATGCACCACCACCGCCTAGCAACTTTTATTTATTTATTTTTATTATGTGTCCACTGACTTCATTAGAGGCCACACCTGTCCTGTAAGGTCTTACAGTTCTTAGAGCATTGTGTATGCTCAAGTATACCGCTGGTAGAAAAACAGGTTGCCTTAAAAAAGAAAAGGGTTTGCCCTCCATCTCCATGTCCACTGAAACTGAACTGGAGCTGGAGCTGGAAGCCAGAAACCTGGAGGCATTTCCTTCCGTATTATTTGCAGTGTAGACAGAGATGCAGGATATCACGGCTTCCTTCTTCTCTGAATTCCTTCCTCCCTTTGCTTCCTTGCAGAAAGTCCAGGTGGTTGTCACTGTGCTAGACTACGACAAGTTGGGCAAGAACGAAGCCATTGGCAAGATCTTTGTGGGCAGCAACGCCACAGGCACGGAGCTGCGGCACTGGTCCGACATGCTGGCCAACCCTCGAAGGCCGATCGCCCAGTGGCATTCTCTTAAGCCAGAGGAGGAAGTGGATGCGCTCCTGGGGAAGAACAAGTAGGCCACAGACGCTGGGCCTCCTGCCTCTGAGGGCACTGACAAGATCCAGAGCTATCAATACCTCAGTTACGCGACCCTAGAGGTTTCTTCATTTGTTTGCAGTGTGTCCTGTTTTTCCTTCCTTTTACTCTTTCTAAAGACCAACTTCTTTTTGGTGGCTGCGTGAAGGGAGTCCCCTAAGTGGTGAAAGAGAAGCCTGGCTCTGTCTGTTTCCAGGAGCTGTCCTTGTTGCATGTCTGTCGCGGTTTCCCTCGCTCTCAGAGCTTCACACAGGCCTCGCCCCACGCGGGGCCTCGATTGGAGGAAAGTTGAAGCAGTTCCTGCTTTTCCTGGGTTTTGGACCAACCAATGGTGGCACATTCTGTTTCTCAACTGTCAAGGCAACACAAAGTCCAGCGTGTTGTGTGTGTGTGTGTGTGTGTGCGTGCGTGCGTGCGTGCGCGTGTGTCCATCCCTGCCTGCCTCTGTCTTTGAGTCTTTCTCTTCATTTCTGGAACGAGCCACGGACAGTGAAGCCATGTGAAAGGAGAAAGTCTTCAGGGACTCCAGGATGAAGAAAGCCAGCTGCCTCAGTGGGAGGCCCGGCAGCGTGTGAAGCTCTCAGAGTCCTTGGGAATGGCCATTTGGAAGGCAGCACAATGTGGTGCTGGATGTGTTCAGAACTAGGACCAAAGCCCTTGATGCCATCACAGACTTCCTCTTGTCAGTCATGGCTTCCCCCAGGAATGTGGTTTTGGGGACATTCATGGGAACAAACTCTCACCGGATTGACTGAACTCTACCCGAGATTGCCGGCCCCAGGATTGCATTCTTGTTGATAGCATCAAACGTTGAGGAGAAGCCCCGTTACTGAGAAAGCCTGAAGTTGAGCTCCTGGATCTTTGTCTCCTAAGTGGGAAGTACAAGCTTCCTTCCTCCGCAGGGCAGAGCGCAGGCAGTGCCACGGTCATTCGCATTCACGCGCCATCTTGCTTTTGCTTCTGTTCCCCTTTTTGTCTAAGTGGAAAAATACTGTCTGAAGACAAACACTCTGCACAGAGCCAGAGACCCGAGAGAGGAAGGCTTGAGTGTTTAGGTCCCTTGAGGTCCAGGTAAGGAGGTGGCAAGAAGGGGAAGCATGGATAGACAGTGAAGAGCTCACAACTCTGATTCCTGGCTCCCTGGGTCCTCAGGCCTCCGTGATGGTAGCCAGAGGGGCCCAGGCAGAGCTGTGGATAGGCCCTATCCTTCCATTTCCTAGAGGCAGGGAAATGCCAGGAAACAGGGCGTTCATTTCAAATGAGTGCTGGAGGAAACCTGCGAAGGTTTCTACCCCTGTGTTCAGTGTCCCCTTCCCTGTTCCCCACTTGTCCCCAGTATTGATAAAAGCCATATATATGTTAGTCAGGCTAGCACTGAGTACCCTTCCAACCTTCAGCCCGGGCAAAGGAGTTAATCCCCATGTAGCTAGAGGCTACCCCTTTCCCTTGGTCTTGCTTCTCTTCTCTCCTTGAATCTCTCAGGCCCTTGTTCTCTTACCACAGAAAATACACAGCTTCCTGGAAGCCCAAGGGAGGTCACAATTCAACAGCAATGTGGCAGAACTTCTGCTCTGCCCACTTTGGTCCTTCCCTCTTCTTCTAGGTCTGATGGATGGTGGTGTAGAGTTTGGCTTTGAGAACCCAGTATGAAGAAGGCACAGAGTATCCTATAGTTTTACTGAAAATGGGAGCTGTGTGGGTTTGCTTTTTTGTTTAAGTAGGGACCAAGTTAACCCCTCTACCAGAAACAGACTGTGAAGTGAGGTTTGACCTGCGTACCTTAGAGGCGCTTCTGCTGCTGGCCCTGGGTACATGGGAAGTTATGTATTTTATACACTCTCTGTATGTGCGTGTATGCTAAACACTGAGGAGGGAAGTTTCTGCTGGGATGATGGGTTGTAGACTCCTTGGGACCAGAGGTACAGAAAATTGTAGGGCAATAGGGTCCACTCCGAGTCCGGGTGGTTGAGGAGTACCAGGGTCCTGGCATGGACTTCACAATTCCTTTCCATCCTCAGAGCTGTGGAACTTTGGTGCTTTCCCAGGTCCCTTCCTGCACTGGCTCTTCTCACACACATTCCATAAACCTCATTCACAGACAACCCCCCCCCCCCCCGACCCTACCCTTCCTTCTTTCTACATTCTCCCAGCTCTCCCAACCCATCTTTCAACTTCTCGGCTTCTCTCCTGGAACCTCGTTAAGGCCTTTCATAGCCCCTAGCCCTACCGCACTGCTCACAGAGGAGGGAAGGTATGGTTTTAGTGTCCCTTGCAGATGGGCTACAGCTCTGTTCTGCAAGGGCTTTTGGACTCTGGTCATCAGTTTGGAGGCAGCATCAGTGCCGGAAGTGGCTCCTCCCCAGGCCTAGGGCCGGTCCCTCGCTAGCCACCCAAGCAGACAGCACCTGTTCAAGGGCAGGAGCTGGGCAGGAACATGTCGATACTCAAGTCTTTATGCACTGGGGGTTGATGTGACCCAAACCCAGTATAGCATTCCAAACCTTCACTGCCACGGGGGTTTATTTCTGGGGGTGTCAGGGTCCTGGGGTATCAGCATTAAGTTAAGATAGTCAATGTTTCTGGCTGGTGAAGGATTCTGGGTACTTTTGGGTTGGAAGTTTTTAACCCTAGAAACAAAGACTGAGGCCTGGGGAGTCGGAGGCTCCAAATAGCAGATGCTTGTTATGAGAAGCAAGGTGAGGCCCAACTGGAGACCCTGGTCTTCTTTCTCCTCAAGAAGCCAACACACAGTTTGTATCTCTGCAAGAGCGACTTGCAATGATTTTGCTGGCCTAAGATTTGGTGAGGGAGGTGGGAGGTCTCTCTTATAGGCCTCTTCGTAAAAGCAGCTTTATAAACATGTCTCCATGCTACACGAGAGGGTGGGTGATGCTCCCCAAGAGGAAGGAATCCCGTGTCTCTCAACTCTGTAGGAGAGCCTATCTTTGAGGGTGTACACAGCAGCAGACTCCCCAAGTTAGGAAGAGACTGGACTCCCTCCCCCACCACATCCTCTGCTTGCCCCTGCTCTGTCTCCCACCCACCGCAGGCTGGTTGGGGTCTTCTCTCAGAGCCATGGGGAGCAGGAGGTGTTCCAGAGCCCCGTAATGGCTGCCAAATTCGGGAAATACAAATACAGGATACTTGGTTAAACTTGAATTTCAGATAAATAATTTTGAAGTTATAAGTATGTCTGACGCAATATTTGGGACATACTGTACTATAAAGTGATTCATTCTTTAGTGTGAAATTTAAATTTAATTGGCTAATTCTGTATTGTGTCTGGCAATATACCCTCTGGCTACTTCATCCCTCTTTTCTCAGTCCCAGGGGCCAGAGCTGGTTACCACAGACTTGACTTAACCTGTTTTTCGAACTGCAATATTGAGAAGGGGACACTGTGACTTGAAGATATATGAATATACTTTATTTTTTAAGCAACAACAAAACAGGAAACTTCTGAAGCCATTGAGCCTCACCTGACCCCTCCATGCGCATTTAGTTCTATATTCTGAGAGAGGATGCTATCTATAAACACATGAGCAGAACTGATCGAGATGCATGCCTACAACTCTGTAAATAGCCGCATGGCAATACTGAGCGTCCCCTTGATCCCCCAACCCCAAACCCACTTTACAAAACTGGCTGCTCCTTGATTTTATGTTGTGTAAAGTCTTTGTCCTCGATCCCACCCTACATCCCCTACAGGGAATGTCCACAATGGGAGACCACATTCTGGCCCCAGTGCCAGCCTCGCCCGGGGAAGATGCTGGAGAACACGGGCCCTGTGGGCCCTGCGGCAGGTCTGCTGCAGGTCTGTCTGCAGGGTTAACCCTTGGGGCACAGTGTACTGTCTAGCCTGTGTCTGGTGTCCCGTTGCCTTTATGTTCCGTGTGTGTGGCGTGGTTCCTTTCTTCCCACTGTCTTGAATAAACTGAAAAGCCATAAAGGGGCCTCCTACTGGAGGCTGCCCTTGACTCCTCCCAGGAGCACCCCTGTCCCTCCAACTGGCTCCCCACAGAACACTTGTGAAGGGCTCACCTGTCCGTTATCCTCTCTTGTTCCCTCAGCCCTGCATCATGAGGACAGTTGGCATTTCAGGGCTTCTGGTGGGGTCCCGGGAGACGGCCCTGGCTGGCTTTCTTGGCGTAGGTCTGATGGTGGGACTCCACTCTGTCCTGGGTGTAGGCAGGGCAGTGGCGTGCTCTGTGGTTTAGATCTCTCAGAAGTCAGCAGCCCAGCCTGTAACTGGGCTTCACCGTAGCCTGGGATGAACAAGGCTAGCCCAGCCTACTTCTTTCTCCCTGAGCTGTCAGGGCCCACAGAGAGCAGTGGAGAAGTGACCAGTGGGGACAGTGGGTTAAGCTTTCCACCCACACTCCCTCTTTGGTCTGGCAGTGCCACAGAGCAGGATGCCCCTGAGAGCACGGTGGCGGGTGTGGTGATGAGGGGCGGCACTAGGCTCTGCCCCTCACATCAGCTCCCAGGGCAGCCTGAGCAGGCACAGCAAGCGGTAACAGTATGGGGAGAGAGACCTGGAGCAGCCTGGGCACCCACAGGACTCCCGAGGAGTGCAGTCATATGTTACTAACCCAGGGGACCTCAGGCCAAAGCCAGAGGCAACAAGGGGCTCTGCCATTTACAGACCATGACGCTTGAGCACACGCAAGTCCCAGGGACCTTTGTGCTACTGACATAACGGGGCAACTGGAGCAACCATTTCAGTGTAGACTGGGGTTGGCTGGAGTCCCCCCTCTCCCCACTGGGAACAGCAGCAGGAGAGTGTGGCAAGGTTGTGGGAGCAGTGTGTGGGCCTTAGCTTCACCCCAGGTTTTCTCAGCAGCCAGTAAGATAACGACCTGAAAGCCTGACCATCCTGTTTGAGTCCTGGTCAGCTAAGGACTTGATTTGCTTTCTGAAAACTCGGGGCCCGTCCAGAAACTTTTAAAACTGGGGCTGGGGCAGAACCCGAGTGTGCCCACGTCACCCCTGGAGTGCACTGGCCTCACCAGGAGCCCTCCCTGTCTTCATGAGGACACGTGTAGCCCTCCCCTCCCCTCTCTGCTTGGCACTGCTCTCTCCATTCCCTTCTGTGGACTCTGTTCTTGTCTGATCTGTCGGATTGTTATTTTGTAATGAGCTGCGTCTCCTTATTAAAGAAAAGAGCTGAAAGCAACCTGGGGGCGGGGAGCATTTCTCCTTTTTTTAGTGGGGGAGGATAGAGCTGCCCCAGTGGGGCAGCAGGGTTGGGCCGGGAGGTGAGCTGGTTTTGGGGCTCTGGCCTCTAGCCCAGCATGAACGGGTCACAACCCATTCTCTTCTGGGTTTGGGGGAAGGGCAGATGGGGTTTCTGGTGGATGGTAGGTACACAGGGCCCACCCTCCTGAGAGGACAAGGGCTGCCCCATACTGGTGAGTTCCCTCTGGGGAACCTGAGCTTAGGGGACAGCCACAGTCTGATGCTGACATCTTGGAGGCTGCTGGTCCTGGGGTGTAGATGTTTAAAAGTGGAAACTACAAAGTCTCCAGTCTTGTTTTCTAAAGAAGGCTGTCCATCTGTGACTGATGAGGCGGGGGTACCATGACCATTAAGGCTTCCGAATGCTTCTGGACAGAGTAGGGGGCAGTATGGCCAAAACCAAGAAAAGATTAGATTCTTGGTCAGGTCAAAGGATTCCGAATGCTTATGGTCAGAGTAGGGGGCAGTATGGCCAAAACTAAGAAAAGATTAAACTCTTACTTAGTTCATCAGTCTGTCGCTTGTCTCGGACCAGCATGCACTAGGCTTGTGTTCCATGTCCAGTCCAGATGGTCAGGGGGCAGTGAAGGCAGCTGGGCAGAGGGCCTGTTTGAGCTGGCAGGAGCCCAGACCTGGCTGGCTACTTCAGTCCTGGGGGCCATGGGATCCAAGACTGTGGGTGTCTTGCTCTGCTGCAGGATGGTACCCATGGCCAGTAGATGAAGCTGACTCTACAGACCTTACGCAGCCAGCAGGGGCCCCAGAGAAATGATATTTGTGGTCTAGGAAGTCCTGTGTCAATCACGCTTTGCCGCAGCTTCAAACCCCAAGGCCAGGGCTGAACTCTTCAACTATGACATCATGCCTATTTCCTCTTGCAGCCTGAGCTACAAACAGCTGGTGACAGCAGGGGAAAAGAATCTTCCCTCCCTCCCAAGTCAGTGACCAAGGATTTCCACTTGGCAGAAAGCAGACCCAAGCCTGGCTGCCCACTCCCCAGCCCTACCAGCAGCCTGTGTAGCAGCAACTCCCTGGGCTAGGCTCCTTTTCTTCAGAGTTTCTACCCAACCTCAAATGACCCCACAGTTAGCTTCATGTGCATGGGTTGGATGTAAGAAGTCATTTTTGGATGTCCTGAATCAGTGGCCCAAGGAACCCTTACCCAGGTGGACAGTGTGGTGCTGGGAGCCTGCAGAGCCTACTACCATCAGTAGCCCCCTGGGTGCAGCTTCCCTATGTAGGATGGATGTTAGGGTCTATCAGGTGGGCCACACACCCTGCTTTTCACTTTCAATAAAACAGCCACCCTTAGGCCCTGGAAACCCTGATTTCTTCTCAGGGTTGCCAGTCAACCCAGGAGATCTTCCTGGGGCAGGGCATGTGGTGACTTGTGCACTGTGGCTGCCCATGCAGAGACTGCTAAGTCAGTGGGAACTACTGGGGGCCGCCTGGTTAATGGGAGCTCTATCACTTTCATGGCACAAAGTTAAAACACAGTTTTATTTGTTCATTTATAAATACTGTTGTGTTTACAGGCATCATACAGATGTGAATATTATTCCCAAACTTTCAAACACAGAACACTTAATACCATATAATAACAACCAGTAAGCAAATCCATCCATCTCAGGGTTGAAAGGCCACTCAAAGTTGCATAAAAATACATTCAGTTCACAAAGCCAGTCTGGCTTCCCCTCCCTCAGGAGCCTCCTCCAGGTGTCTTTACAGTTGACTGAAGTTCATCTACACAACTCAGCTGGAAAACAGCTCCATTTGGTGCATAAGTGTGGGTGAAGGGTGGAGAGAGGAAACAAAATGCTAGCGTTCAAGTGGTGATCAAGACCAGGGCGAAGGAAACAGAGAAAAACAGTGATGCCCAAACCAGACTGCACTGGCTTAAGAGTAGGTCACATCTCGCTGCAGAGGGAGCGGTTGTGGCATGTTACCTCCCTCTTCAGGGAAATCACTGCTGTGCTTCGAGGTCAGGCCAGGAAGAGGACCTGCCAAGGGCTCAAGGCAGGTGACTGGTGAGGTAAGCGTGTTGGATGGACGCTTTCTCCCGGACCCACCTCTGCTGCCTTTACCTGCAGCTACTCTGCACTAGACTCTGCCATCCTAGGCTAGGCTGGGATCCGCTTGAGGTTTCAGAAGAGTAGGGTTGAGAACAGCAGACACAGCACCTGGGAGAGAAACAAGCTGGTGCTGGCCAGAGTGTCCCCTGTTCAGGATCCTGCTCTGACCTCTGCTCTGGGTTCAAGAGCACGTCAGAGGCTCTTAGGACTCTATGGTCCTGCCTTTTCTGGGTCTTCTCTCCTGGCTGGCTGAGAGGCTGTCACTTCTATATAGACTAGCTCAGCCTGTGCTGAGGAGACATTTCTGCCTTATGCAGGGACTGGTCACATCCCCAGGAAAAGAAGGAATGAATGTCTCAGACACAGCCCTGCGACGAGAATCATCTAGACCTATAAGCCAAATCTTGTCTCTGAGGGGCCTTGAAAATGGAATAGGGCTGGCTGTGGGTGGTGGGGGAAAATGACATGCTGTTGGTATCTGAAAATTCTCCAGGACTCTTGGCTGATTAATGGGAAACCCTGTCCCTCAAGCACCATCAAGCCCAAGTGTGGAAGCCAGGCCTGAGGAGTGTGGGGGAAGGCAGGGGAGGGGTACGATTAGTTGGAAGGACCTACGCTACCATCTTGATGACACCTTAAGGGCCACCCAAGTACATTTTTATTGGAAGCATTAGGGGAAAATTTAGAGGCAAAATAACAAAATGTCATTCTGGCAGATTACCAAGCTGGGAGACAAGCAGATGCATGGGAGTCCTTTGGGAAGCTGGTGCAGGAAGAGAAAAAGAGACAGAGCTACACACTTGGATAAAATTGGTTTCTGAGTTTTCATTTCTAATCAAGAAAACACCAGACCTCTTTTAAAAAGCTCCAGCCTGGCAAGTGTGTGTGTGTGTGTCCCCAGGCTGGAAGGGAGCCTCACATTGCCAAGTCTTCTGAGGTAAGGCCAGAACATGCATCAATGCATGGGCTTTAGGACTTTCCACCCCCACCATCTCGCGAGCGGGCACCCAGATACTGGGTTGCAATTGTGACCTTCACCACAGCTTGCAAGGAGACATGGAGACAACTTCCAGCTTCCCTCAGGTTTGTTGGGGTCCAGTTGTTTTTCCTCGGCCCCCAGAGACCACTTCATTCCTCTGTAGCCGTGACAATGACAGCTCCTGGGCTATAATGAAGTTGATCTATTTTTCCAATCTAATCAGAACACAAGCAATCAATAGTTGTCCCTGACAGAGTCCACTGCTCTGAGCAGTGTCAATACCCATTAGGAAGGCTGATTAAAATCTCCTCTCAGGCTTAGCTGGAACTGAGGAGAGAACTCAACGAGACAGAACGCACTTCCAGGTGCAGAAATCAGGCTTCCTTACTCCCAGTGTCTGCAATCTCCATCCTCTTCCACATTCAAAGACCCTGCCCTCTGCCTTTACCCATCATACCTGCAGGCACCCACCTCCAGGGTTTGTTCTGACTGCACCATTCTATGCCATGTGGTTTGTGGGGTCTGTGAACTCCTGAAGCAGCAGCATGGTCTCTTGTGAAAGACCGCCTTGAACAGCCCCAGAACGCCCCACTTCTGAGAGCTCAGTGCTCGGAGGCAGAGCTCAGCCGAAGCTAGGCTCTTCCTGTGGAACACTTGTTGCTCAAGGCAGAGCTCAACATTAGGAACTAGCTGGTGCCAAACAGAATCCCAAGTTAAGCCTGCTTGGGTACGGAGAAGCAGTGCTGGTCACATCTAGGAAAGGCGGCTGGGTTCCTAGTGACATACTGCTCTATCCACCCCCTACCAGCTACAATCTCCACCTCTTCAGGCTCCTAACCACCAGGAAGGAAACAATCACAACACTGTTCAATTGCTTTCAGTGTTAACTCCACTTTCCAGCAAGGAGGAGAGGTCAGCCTTGACACCCCAATCTTAAACAGCTTGAGTTTGGGAAGAAAACAAGACTGATATTGAAAATTTGAAAAGAAGCAGAAATCTAAGAGTCAAAATGTTCTCATCCTTCTAGAAATGAATAAATTACAGAAATTTAAGCCCCATGGGGCCTTAAAAAATTATCTTGCCCAAGGGTTACAGCTAAGTAAGTTGGCTTAACTGTGTGCACCTTATCCTGCCCTCATCTCCTGGGTCAAGGGAACTATGTCTGAAGGCAACTGAGATGTGCACGGGGCCCACCTCTGAAAGGGCGCGTCACCATGGACTAGAGCCCTGCGGTCCTGAGGGAAGACAGCTGGGCTCCTGCAGCCCAGCCTCACTGTGAGACCGCAGTGGATGCTGTAGCTCACCTGTTGGGGGAAGTTAGTCACTAACATCCTAGCTACCCAATTAAGCTTCTGTTTCAAGTCGTACAACAGTCTGAAGCAGCTGACAGATGTCACAAGTGCCAGTACTGTCAGTACTTTACACTGGGTGGAGACAGTTGTCTGTGCGACAAAAGGCCTCGAAGGGGTGCCAGAAACCAGAGTGCCGGCAAAGGGCACGGCTTGGAGACTTCCTCCTCTCATCTCTTGTTATATACCCTTTTGTAGGGCCCACAGACTAACCCGGTACTTTGCCTCACTGAACAGTGCTTGCATCTAGAAGACCGAGGCTTGGGACAGAAGCGGGGAAAGCAGGAGGGAGGACGTGGCCCCTGCTGGACAGACACGGAGGTTCTAGGAAGTGAGACCAGCCTACTGAGTGGGGCCAAGATCGAGCTGTTCTGATTCTTTTGAGGCAACACCCTTAACTGTGCACCACCCACCTTCCCCTAGAGACAGGGATGAAACTGGCAGTCAGAACTTCCAGGTACTGTCTGGAAAGGCTCAGAAGCCCCTGAAAGTCAAACAGGAAAACTCCAGTCCCAGAATCTCGGGACTGGCCCTGCCA